CCATCTTGTTAAGAAAACATGGCAAATCTTTCGGTATGAGATTTCGAGAAAACTATTAATATTCAATACCATTCTTCAGCCATGCATGAGTTTTATCACAGAAGGACCACCATATGATGGGGTGATGCAGAATGTCATCAGTACACAAAAACTTGTCTCAGTAGTTTCGATATTATTCGACAGGTGGGACTGAGCTTACGTCATGTTAAACGTTTAGGCTGCCATGCATTAATTCTTCTGGGGTTATAAAGTGAACAAGTAACGCGTCGACCATGGGGCCTCGTTTTACGCAATCCTGGAAGCAGAGAATAGGGACAATAACATAGTACTCTCAAAAACCAATTCCTACCCTAGATCAGGTGATATCTTTTGGATTCTTTTTATTTTAGTCTGCCACTCGAAGAAAACATCAAACATTTCCTCGGAAACTTCCTTTGAAAACGTCTTTCCTTTGAAGACACCAAAGCAGCTCTTCGTCGGTCATCGGCGTCCCTTCGCGGTGCCACTCCCGACTCGTCACTTTTTTGTACCATCGTGCCATTCTTTTTTTAACCACTCACTTAAGCACTGTATGAAGTTTCTCGAGTTGGATTCTGCTCAAAAAATAGTGTTTGAACTTTAAACAAAATATGCCTGCTTTCTTTTTTAAAAGCGTTCTGTAGACATGGTAAGCCTAGATATAAGTAGCTAGTTGTGTTGCTTTTTCATTTTCGACCAACTGTAATCAAGTCTCATTCTAAAAAACAGATTTTTATGACTTTTGTAGTTGTTACGATGTCCTAACCTACGTGTAAAAAGTCTTGCTACAAATTTCTTTGAACGTTTTCTCTGCTCTGATTAGATATGTATTTTTCTATTTTATAGGAAATTATAGCCTATTCTCCGTGCTTTCATTTCATATACAAATGTTTCATGTTAGATGATTAGCTTGAGATAGAGAGATTTTGTAAATGATACCCTTAAAATTTTGGTTTGGACAAGCCAGCAAAAAAAGTGTAAAAATATGTGAAGTATGATTGCTTCTTTGACTGATTTCTTCTTCGAATAAAAATCTTTCTTAGGCTTATCATATATTAGTGTGATCATCTCTCAGGTTTGTCCTTTCATATAAAAGGATCTCACAACTAATAGCTGTGAAGCGTAGGAAATTTTTTCGAATTTCATTTTTCAAGATGTGAGGTTTAGGTGCAAAGAGAATTTTAACTCTGCTTTTGATCTAAAGAGTCTTAACATTTATTCCAAAGTGGCCGGTTTTGAAGTGCATCCTTCAAGCTTCCCAGCTATATATAATATGCAGGCATAAAGAATATTCTGAAAAAAATGTACGTTGTTTCATGAGTAGAAATTAGTTTTCGAATATTCAAATAATGTAGACTGTATTATTTAGTCTTAATATTGTTTGCCTTAGAAAACGCAGTAAGCTTTGCCTCTTGATGGCCATAAGTTATTATGTATGCGTGCTTGTATTTGTCAATTAAATGGGCTCTATGCTGTAGGTTTCTAAAAAGTTCTGCTGCTACTTTCCTTGTACAAACAGTTTTTCAAGACCATCTTTCGTCAAGCTTCTGCATTCAAACCAAATCATCTCATACACAACATTTCTACACATAATGAATACACAGATAATAGGCTATAATCTCGTATAAAAATTGATAGAAAATATCTAACGAGGGAACATTTCCAAGTGTGAGTCTCAGTTTTAAATGGAATATATACCAGTTTGTAGAGCTCGACGAGCTGATTCTTGTGGTATGTTCCGCTTTTGCCCATAGACCTCAAATGAGAAAATTGGTAAGTTTTATTTGTACAGGATAACACTGGAAATATCGAACTTTTAAGCACAACATTCGCACAGAAAGGCAATTTTAAAAACTGTTTACAGTACTTTGAGCCACTGATTCTCACATATCACACCCAAAACTATTTAAAGAAACGGTGCTCTTTATATTCTCAAGGTTATTTTTGTGCATGGCAATATTATTTACATGATAGAATTTGACCAACCGAAGTTGCATAAGAAAGCTTTTTTCTACATTCCGAAGTTTAAGCTTTATGATTTTCGTGTTTCGACTTGCATAGACTATCATTTTATCGTTTTATTCGTTTTATTCGGAAAACATATCAAGAACATAATCAATGAAAATGATACGCGGTGAAAAAATGTTCGAAACACAATATTCGTCGACAATGACTACAACAAATAAATGCACTCTGTTCCCAATTATTATTTGAGCAACTGTCTGCATAAAAAAGAAAAACAGACGTCTATAACGCTTGAAAAATTCGAGTATTGTTTAGGAATGTAGCCACAAGTTGACCATGCGTATGAAATCATTGGTTTAAATAAAGAAGAACTCAGTTGATTATGAACCAGACTTTGTAGTTTGATTATAGCGTCACGACTTCTTAAGTCAACATCTAATTCGTCTAGAGATACACGATGATATATTCTTTTTGTTAACACTTTCCATTGTCGGAAAAAATAAGTATCACACGATTGTTTAGTTGATGTTGCTCTTCTAGGTATCACTAATAATTTACATGACTGTCCTTTTGCCAGATTATTCTCATATACAGTAATGTCAGTCTGCGGTGACCATTGATTGACCACAAGAAGGAATCGATTGCTGACTACTTTATCGAGAACTTCTTTAATCCAGTATTCCACTAAGAATTTATTTAATTTCCCAGATGTACTGCAACTAGTTACTATATTTGATGCTGAAAAGACCGCTCTTGTAATTGGAAACCGACCCGTGGGTTCCTGAAGACAAATAAAAACAGGACTGAGCAACTGACCAGCAGCACTAATGATCGGCATAACTGTATAGGAATGGCTTATAGTATTCAAAGATTTTACTAATAGATAAGTCGCTTTCTCACCTGCATAAGATAGTGTACGGTTCGAAGCTATTTCGTAATTAAAACTGGATTGATCGGCATTTAGCACAAAATCAAGCTTATATTTTGGTATATGTTTGGTTGCTTCAGCGACAAAATCATCAGCAGTCTGTTTAATTATAGATTTATCAACAACTTCCCGATGAGAAACGAATTTTGTCACTTTTCTGGAAGATATACCATTGCATTTTTGGAAATTGAGAAGCCAATNTTTGCACTTGAAAGTTCATTTTCGTTTCAAAAGACGAAGTAAAGAATCAATATTCTGTATTGAAAGATACTACCCTATATTATCTGTTCGTCCTCGTGTGTCAATGGAGAGAAATGAATTGACTGTTTTGTTCAGAATATTGCATGGATTCTAGTTATGTGATTTCTTTTTCACAATTTTGGGAACGGAAAACTACGTCTATCGTACTGTGTGAGGATGCTGTGATGTATGTTAAACTAGCTTATACAACAATGGGGTAAAACGGAATGTACTTGATGACTTCAGATTAGGAAAGAAATTTATGCGCATCGCCTTGTTTCGTTCCATTCCTTTCGAAGTCGTAGTACAAGAACTTTTCCCTTGCTACTCATGTACATGCATATTACTCTATCTTTGATTTAGGTTCAACGACGTCGACAACTACGAGCAGTAAGAGAAGGAAAGATTAATACTCAACTAATTTGTGTGAATTTCCCACATCTTTCTCTTTCAGCCATCGCTTGTTCAGCTTCTGCTACAACAACGCATGCTCCAGGTGGTCAAGGTGGCGAATCTATTCTTTACACATTTGACAACACTCCCAATGATTATTATGGCAATTACAACGCTGTTCCGTTCAATAACCCACAATACGTTTCTCCTGGATACAATGGACGCGGCTATGCTATTCAACTTCTTTCAAACCAATCACAATATTTGACAATCGCAAATTATATGAATTTCTATCAGACTAGTTTAACTGTCGAAGCATGGATTTAGCAAGCAATCAGAAAGGATATGCTCATCAAAAGCAGCTAGTTTAGAAAGTCTGCAATGGTGAAGTGCAGATTACGATGTTTTCACAATATACAGTCTAACTGAACAATCTTATTGCAACCATGGACAAGTTTAAACTACAACTTCATAGACTTAATCATAACCGAATCTGTAAATATGACAGCCTTAACCTAAAAGATTAACCATTTTGAATGTAACATTGAAGCTCGACATTTTGGTTCCTTCAAAAATGCTCAGAGTACCACTTTGTTCGAGGCCTATGGCCTTATTTAAATTTTAGTTACGCCCTGGTGACATGAGAGGAAGTGAAATTGCGAATTTTTGTTGACGTTGTCGTCTTTGAAAACGAAGAATTTCAATAAATTTACTTCCGTCCTACACTCTGACCACATGCAAAGTTTTTGTAATCTAATTCTAATCTAATCTAGGATTTTTTCTAGCTAAACATATCTTTATTTTAATAAGGTAATTGAGGTGAAGTTTATATTAACCTACAAAACACTAGATCACAAAAAAATGCAGCAGACTTCAAAGCACATCTTTCTAGGATGCCTTCTTATCCGTTCGCAGTCTATACTGTTAGCCCGTATAGTGATATGATTATCTATGCTCAAACGAATTCTTCAACAAGCTATCAGTACATGTGGATGATGTTAAGAAATGGAAAAATCTATGGTGCATTTTTCAGTGATGACGTTACCGGACCAACTATGTTTCAAACGAATCAATGGCAACACATGGCATTCACATATAATTATACGACGACAACGCAAGTTGTTTATGTTAACGGAGTTGCGGGTAACCGATTAGAAGCTCTTCAAACTTTACAGAAGATGAGAATAGAAGATTGTGAGGCATTGCAGCGATAGATATTAGTTTTTCTTGTTTTATTTTAAAACATATTTTATACGTTTTTCTCCTTTTGCTAGATGCTACAAATATAAATGCACCACCTTGCTTAATCACAGCTGGAATACAGACAATAGGTTCATATCCTTCTTTTGGAAGCGGCTTCTTTCACGGCTACGTTGATCAATTGGAAGTTCTGTTCAATAGAGCAAAGACAGCAGCTGAAATTTTAGATGATGCAACCTTAGTCGGACGTTATTCAATGGATTGTCTAAGTTATTCTAGTTGGGATAGTGGTCCCAATCAAATTCATGGTATAACAGTTGGATTGAGCAGTGGTGATGGTGGACGAGTTGGACAATCCTATTTATTTAATACGAATTCAAGTTATTTTCAAGTAACAGGACTAGTTTTATTGGGACAATCATACAGTCCATTTTCATTTGCAATGTGGTTAAGGCCAATAACATCCGTTACAAGTGGTGGTACAATTCTACATCTTTCTCAGTATACCGACGGCACTGGATGGTGTGCTCAATTCATTGGGCTAAATTCATTGGGACAGATAATCGCCAATGGATATAGTGCAAGTGGTATGGTTTCAGTCACTGGACCTGTCCTTACAGTTGATCAATGGGTTCATATCGTTGAAACTTACAGCCAACTTAATGGAGTACGCCTATATGTCAACGGAATACTCTACGGACAAAGTAGTGCATTTGTCTATGCAGCAAGTGGCTCACCCATGACCGTTACTCTTGGACAGTTTTTGAATGGAGCGAGCTGTGATCATACAGGAATTCAAAGTGGTTATTATCGGGGACAGATCGATGAATTTTATATTTATAGTAGAGAGTTATCGCAAGTAGATGTAACAGCTTTGGCGAATCCGTGAAGTTTGACTTTGTTTTGCTGAAAGTTTATGAATCGTAAATGACATCATTGTGAATGTGCATACGACAAAACAGTGACTTTTTTTTTGAAAACATGAAACAAAAATAAAAATGAAATTTAGAGAAGGCTCTTGTTCTGCATACTTACTATAATCAATTATGAGATTGAAAACATTTGAGTTTTGCCGTTCTGGTTCTTTACAAGACAATTATTATAAGTAGCTTTCATCGGCGTTCTGTTTTCAACACATGTATGAAATCCATCTGAATCGTGTAATTTGTGTATATCGGTTTCATACTGATACAGATGTTATAATTAGAGAATTATAAGAGCTGAATGAATTATAATTTATTCACAAGTTTTTTTCTTTGTTGAATTCATTACTATAAATACGGTTATCTGTATTACAAAGTGGTAACCATCGTTTCGTTCATTTGCTATGTTTTTATATAGCCTGGAAAAGATAATTGAAAAATGCACTTTTAAATGTTAATTAAACATTTTCATTAAAAGATTTTTAATCGAGTAAAATTATTGTTTGATAAAAATAAAATCACGCCTACCATCTGTGATTTATGAACATAAATATAATCGCAAACCTTCTCAACAAAGTATCACATTTAATTGAGTAACTTTAAAAAAAGAATGATGTCTAAAACAATTTTTCTACCGTGTTCTAACAGAAATGAGAAGCATTTGTTTGAGAAAATTGAATCTAATGCAGAAAAGTATCGTCATATGATAATAAAAATGTATCGAAATTTAAAAAGTCACGGATTTTCCTTAAAAACTAAAACAAAGTGACATTTCCTTGATATACAGTTATATTATAACATGCTCTGAACAACGAATATATATCCATTTCGATCATGTCCTATTTCAAGTATATTATTATTTTAATCAGATAGAACAATAAATAACCGTTTTTGAATGATCGACACAGCTGATCGATCCTGAGGAAATTTATTTCTTAAAATGATTTTGAAGAAAAAAAATAACCGATGTTCTTGAAGGATTAGATTCGTTGTTATCAGCATGAATTGTTGAATTTGGAAACAGCAATTAATATGCTGTTCACCAAGAAAGATCATTTGTAAATTATTGTTACCAATTCGATGTAATGCCCTACATGAGTACATTTCTTTTGCACCTGAGCCAGACATCTAACCAGCATCTGGAAGATGCATTTACACATTTCTTTTCACTCAACTCTAACAAAGACTGATGTGATTTTTTCGACGAAAAAAAAGACCATAAACAGATATAAAATTCACATAAATCTACTCGGTGTTAAATACTAAATCATAACATGATTTTAGGTTTTATCCAAATTGTACTTCATCTAGTCGAAATCTACAACATATCAATGAAGAGCCGTCAAAATCAGGTCTGAGAAATTGTATCTCTCAGACTTGTTTCCATAATCTCTGGTTTCTCTTCGATGCTTTCTTAACATTTTGAAGTGATTAAAAGTCTCTATCAACGAATAAGTGAAATAGAACAAATTCTATTAGTGATCACTTTCGAAACCCTTGTTTGTCTGAATATCAATGTCTTTCGATTTCTTTATTTTCTTGTATATCAATATTTTTCAATTCATATTAAATGTATTACTGGTGTTATCTAAACATTTAATAATATTATATTATTATCATGATATTGTCTTGAACAGAGACGGTCTTATTGGACTTTTGCATCGCAGAGTAGATATTATGTAGAGGAAGAAGGGAAGCTTTTCTAATTAAATCGTTCTATTAATAGTGAGAGCTTGTCAGTATATTTCTGGATATTGTACACGATTGGAAATAATATTATTCCACAGGGTACCACTATAATGTCAAATAGGGTAAATAATGAATTTGATACCAAATGAAAGCTCGTGGAAAATGGGGTTTACTGATATTAAATAATACGGGCTATGAAAGCTTTCGAATATTGAGTTCTCAAAATTTATAGAATCTTGTAGAATACAGGCGTTATAATTTACTCTCAGAGAGTTGTAAGTCAAAGAAAAATCTGCTCTCTGTTTGTCTTGGTAGTGATTAGTTAAAAGATGTTTTTATTTTCATTCTGTTAGAAAGTTATAGAAGAAAAACAATTTAAGTAGTTTGTCGAGTAAAACATATAAGGTCACTTTCTGATCGATATATTTCATAAAAAAGAATCCATTCTTTTGGTGAATCAACGAAGTACCATTACTTGAAAATGGCTGGTACTTATGATACTGAACAACAGAGAATGATTGACAGAATTAGATGCATTTCTTTTCGTAAAGCTAGTGATCCGGTGCAACATTTATAAACACACAATGAATCGGGGACAAAATTCACCGGACAACTCGATTTGTCACAAAATGGTAGAAAAAATCATATGATCAGTATTTTAGTGATTACTTAAACACTAATCCCAAGCTCAAATTATCCCAAGCTAGTCAAGACATCATTCTTAAAGTGAGTGGTCGACAAGGAGAAAGTTGTTCAGTTATGACGAAGGAGATTACAGAAAAGAAAAAAGAATATGCTGTTCCAAGAACTATCAATAATTACCAACGTAGAGAAGGATTAAAGTCATGTCATGTTATTCTAAAACTGCTAAAATCGAAAAACATATATCACATCAGTTATGACAGTGTAATCGGTTAAAAGATTGGAATGAAGAAGAGTTTCTTCATCTCTTACCATCTCGTGAATAAAATGTCTAGATTGTCCGTAGTTCAAGTTATCAGAATGATAGAATGTGGGTAAGAAGTGTCGAAGATGTTTAAAAAGATAAAAACTACCGTGAAATGGTTAAAAGTCAAATATGAAATGGGATTTTTGTTATATTTACTTACAAGAGATTACTTTGGATGATTAAAAATAAAAGTGAATCGTGGATTGGTCAATATTATTGTGACATACTTTTAACTAAAACCGTATTTCCTTCCTTACACAATGAAGAAAACGTTGTTAATTTTGATGAAGTTATATTTGTCTATGATAGAGCACCGTGTATGCAAGCAAGTAAGACCTAATATTTGCTTCAAGACAACGACGTTAAGTTTTGGGGTAATGATGTCTGGCCCGGAAATTTACCAGATCTCAATGTGAGAGAAAGTATTGAATCAGTAATCAAAGATGAAGTTGAAAAAAAATCTTATCAGAAACTAAACATAATCGGTATCTTGAAGACACACTCAAGATGCACATTTCAAATGTTTTGATCAAGATGGAAACAGGTACTGAGTTATTCAAAACTTTTTTATGTTCGTATCCATGTCGCCTTCATGCAGTGAAGAACGCTAATGGTCATCATACTGATTATTAATTGTATTCATTAAAAGATGGAACAACAAATCATTTTGTAGCAGATTTATTTCGAACATTATCTCATGAATAGCTTTGCTCATACTTCATGTCGGTAAAAAAATTATAAATTTTGAGAGTTCAACATACAAAAGTTTTAATAACCCTTATTATTTAGTAGTAATAAGCTTCATTGTCGACGATCGTTCATTTGGTATAAAAGTCATTATTTACTCTATTTAAAATTATAGCGATATCCCGCCTGGAATAATATTATTTCCAACCGTATACCTGACAGGATAAGATGAATTCATTTATTAATTAGATATTCACGCGCATGAAAATAAAAAAAAAACTAGTGAACGATTTAGTATAATTAATACAGAATAAGTCAATATGTGATTCATTCACATATATTGGACAACTTCTGGACACTGTTCATTTATAATTAATCGGAAGCAAATATCAAAAATAATATAAGTACCATTTGTTTTTTTAAATATACATATGCGCCCCAATTCTGTACAATGCAGTCAAAACTTGATTGCATCAATAACAAAAACTCGATTCATAAATGTTAACTGTCAGATTGGCAAATAATCTGAATTATGGTAATTATAAAAATATATTCGTCATCTGTTAATTCTTCTGAGAGATCTTGAATAAAAGACATATCGAGAATCTTGGTATAAGAACCAGGCCGTTGTTCAGCTTCTGCTTGCAATCTGACAAAAGTTTAAACCTTATTATAATTAGAATGATACTTTAAATATAGCTACTTGCAACTGTAAAATAAGCCCTCAAATATCGTCGGAGATGATTTCTGCGGGAACTTCAGGATTCCACGATGCAATTAACGCGAACTGTTCAGTGTCATTTGAAACAGGAAAGGGATGTTTGCCGATAATATTTTCAGTCAAGCTAATGCCTAGGGCCCGCATATCACCTTGAATAGAGCTCGGCTCGGGTCGCTGCTGCACAAGTTCAGGTGCAAAATAGGCGATAGTGTCTATAGGACTTGTTTGCGTTGAATTCATCTCATCGATTTTGCAACAAGTGCCATAATCACTCAGTTTAAACACAGCATAACTATTAACCAGTATGTTGTCTGGCTTAACATCTCGATGAACATAATTTTTCTCTGTCAAAAATGGAAGTGTCGAAGCAATCTGAGTGAGATCAAGTGAGTGACTATAAATTCATAAAAGTAGTACTTGCATTGTGAACTGCACGACGCAACAAAAATTCTAAATTGTTAGGATTAATATCTTCCAGTAGATGCATAGTTTCATAGAATCGCTTTATTGTTGTATCCATTAACTTCATACAAATACACAATTCACTGTAGATCTACAAAAGAGCATTATAATACAAAAGTGAGATGAACCTTCACTTACTGTATCCATTATTGAACCATAGTAGTCAATTATGTATGGACAGGCGTCGGAACCTATTTCTTGCGTCATGCTCAGTTCAATGCTTGTTACAGAAGCTCGCTATTCTTTTGTTGAAAGTGGAATGCACTACAAAATACACATCTTTTTTCAAGCAGTGTTCATCTCGTTGTCAAGAGAGAGATATTTCTCTTGAGAATTTTATTACTTAGAGACACTACGGCATTGTCGATATAAGTTTGAGTTTTCTTTTTCTTGAAACTTTTTATGAAAAACAAATTCATGCCTCCGTATTTGAGGAATTAGCTTTTGACATTGTGTGAAGTAAATCTATATGAGCTCTTAAACATCTGTACAATGTGCAAATAGTATTCAATGTCACTCCAATTATCGTTATATTTTGTCTGTGACTGTTACATACTTTGACTGCCATAAGAACATCAGGATTTTTCTTAATCGTAACGCTATCCACTGAACCAAAGTGTCCTCGACCGATGTATTGAATGACGTCTAGATCTTCCGCGGTGGCTTCAATTATGCGATTGTTATATGTGGACTCAGCTGAGATTTTGAGTGATTCCTAACTGAAAACGAAATTAAAATAAAAGAATTCAGTCAATCAAGATGCTTTATCTGTATTTGGTCAGCTTCTCCTCTTCTTCTATCTCGATACTAAAACCAGTGTACTTGCTTTCTAAAATTGAATGTCATTTACAAGATTTTTATTCTATGTCAAACCATGAATGAGATAACTTAGACCTTCGCAATATGCTTTGATACCTCACGGTACATATAGGCAATGGAATAACTCATGACTTGAGATGTTTATACCAGGCATAATCATGAAAGCATATGCTAAGCTGAATTTTGAAAGGTTCTATCCTTATTGTTTGTCTCTTACGCACGATTCGAATCAAATGAAATCTGTCTCTAACTCCCACACATCGACTTTCAACTGTTCTAATACCTACATGCGACTTTAATTTTTTTTTCTAAAGAATAATAAAATAGGCATCGGATTCACAAATGTTTTCTATCAGATATAATGTGAAGATTTAAATCTTAGTATTATAATTGTGAAGTTGATGTACACAAGGTTCTTACTTCGCTTGCGAGTCGTGACTTTGATCGATACTTTGTCTGTTCGCGTTTCAGTGGTAGTAGCAACAGGTCGAACCACTTCAGAAATTATGGGAACATCTCCGACTAATGATCATAAAATAGATTACATACATGCATTCGATTGTTTACACAAGACTCGTTCTTCTAAATTTACTGAATTCAATAATTTGTGAAATCTCGCAATCACCGGCCCGTGTTATCACATCAATTACTGTAGACACTATGTACTCATCACCAACGTCGTTATCCGCTAGATTCACGCTTTGTATTTCATCAGCTAAAATTAGAAAATAAAGACAAGCATCGTTTTTTTACAGTCGACTGTTGATACAAGAACCTTTCTTAAACATTTACAAATAATGGCTGATTGTAAATCGGCTTCTTTTTCTGTAACTGATGTTTTATTTTGATCGGGTTGTTCAGCAGTTTGATCTTCGCTGTATTTTTCAGTATCCTCATCGATGGAAGACTGCTCATCTCGGCGATCGTTCATATTATCCATTATGTGCGCGAAGCGTAATAATCTGAAAATGGAACCTTTCGTTAAATATTGAAGCATTCCATATTTAAAACAGAACCATCCTATTACTATTTCCATTCAGATTGATATAACTTATGTGAATATAAGAGCAAATAATCGTTGAATTCTTATCTACTTGATCGAAGAAACCTGGAAAACTCTACAATCTGTGGTACCTATTTAGATGGATGCCTTAAAACCATCATCGTTGACGGAGGAGTACTTTGACGAGTGAAAAAGTCATTTGAGATACTTCTTTTTGCTCAATATGGATAAATTTTTGGAATAGGATATGAGATTCGAAAGTTTTTTCTTGAGAATTGGTAAGCGGGAAAACCAAAGCATAGCTGGAACTCCAATGAGAAAAACGAAAGTTTTTTTTTAGCTTGTGACAGGTTCACCCGATTCATACAATCGCGGCCATAGTCTTCTATTCATTGAAGAAATTCAAATATTCATACGAGTCATTGACTGTAATATCAAACGGATGATGTGCGTTATTGCTGGAGAACCTATGCATCAATTATAAAATCTTTCATAGTAAAACGTAAATGATCCGATCATGTACCACTGACAACATGGGCACACTCGACATTTCATTCACATGGTAAGTTATGCTTTACTTTACTTTGAAAAGACAACGTTGATAAATAATGTTTCTCTGATCAGGCAAGATGGTGTTCAATGATAGGTTGTTGACAGATAAGAAAAATAATTCAAGTATTCACAATCACACATAAATAGACAGCCGAAACGCTGTTTTTCAATGTTTTTTGCCGTTCTGCGCAAAAATGCAACTTTCTTTAACAGATTCTTAGTTATATTAGTCCGACCTTCACAAAACAAAATGATAAGGAGCGCACGAAGGAAATGGATATCCTGTGTTCGTCGTCAACAAGGCAAAAACATCAGCAAACATTTATTATTTCATTCATTCTTTATTTCTCCTCACTTTTCCTTTTAATGTATCTTTACATGTTTACGACATTTATTTCGGACGCGGGTGTGCATGTTGCTTTCAAGAAGTATGCCTGTCTTCTATTTTCTCTAATGCATACACACAAAGAATTTTAAAAAATTTATTTTCATTTAAGCTCTACGGTGTATTGAAAATCGAATATTATTTTAAAGAACGAATATTATGAGGCAGTTGATTACACATAAGAACACGCTTGCAACTTTGCTTTCAGTGTTGTTAATACACTTTTCTCTGCAGTTAATCAATACAAATGAGATATCTTCTCTACTTGAAGACTGATTTTTTTCTGAAGATATTATTTTACTATACTGTATCTTCAAATGAGTCACTTTGACCCACTATAGGTATCCCATCCACAGGATCAAAATGACTGCCGACAAATGAAGTCAATGATATCATTTCTATTTAAATTTTCATTCGATCTTTCACCCTTTGGCTACCGACTTAAGAGAGAGAAAAAATCTCTTTAGAAAATCACTATAGCTATTTATTTTTGATCCAATTATACAGATTTATACGAGATAACATTAAATTTTCTGTAAGGTATGGAAATCCTTGAAACAATTGTGAATACACAGTCCAGCATCGCATTCGGTAGACTGGTAGCGCGTGTCGCTTCGTTTCTTGTCATGTTGTTCAGTATTGGTGCCGACATAACATCTTCTTTGAGGAGTCTAGTTGTTTTCATTTGAAGGAGTTAGAGACGGAAAATGTCTGACTGTCAATCGCAATGGACGAGTACTCAACGGTCTGCCAACATGCAAATTCTTCGATTCACACTTTGCAATAGGTTCTCGAATAATTTCTAATTTAAATTTGAAAAGCTGAAGGTTTTGATGATTCATATTTTTGAATAAAATATAACGACTGAGAACCGACAGATCGATTATGTGGAAAAAAGAGTTTCTTGTACTATGTGGTGGTTTTTCAAAGAAATTCCAAAAACGTTATCTGCATAACACATTTGTCTACGATACTCCTGTTTTCATCGTATTCTTTTATGCATAATGGTTTGAGGATTTCTTTGCCAATATTTAAGTTTCTTTTTTCTGTTGACCTCATTGAGGAATCATGTGCGGTTGATAACAAATATACATTTTTTTTATCACGCCACTTTATAGCCGTCATATATATGCAGTATGTTGTACAGACTGCTTTCCTCACTGCAATATTCCTTGAAATTTTGGAAAACCATAACGATTCTGCTGCACAGTACCACAAGCCCCAGTTGAACGTTCATAGAGAGCGTGAAATAACTTTGGACTTGAATACTAATTATCAACGTAAAGAACATGACCTTTGTCGAGATACTCTTCGATCAATGTCATAACTATCGAACGAGAGATACCAAGCTGGAGTGAGGGTAATCGTATTATACCTAGTGAACAATCAGGTTTTAGAGCAAATTGCCATCTACCTACCAGAGTGCTATCCATCTATCAAGAAGTAAAAAACAACTTAGCAGCAAATACACCAACATTAGCCTTTTATGTAGACTATGAGAAAGCCTTTGACCTGGTGTGGCACAAAGGACTTTTGGTCAAGTTGCACAGATTAGGCATGCCACTTAACCTCCTGAAAGTTATAACAAGTTGGTTAGAAGACCGCACAGCTTATATATGCTTCGGTAAAGATAAATCGGATATCTTCAATATTCAAGTCGGTCTTCCTCAAGGTAGTAGCTTAAGTCCCTATATCTTCATAGTTTATCATAGCGATTGTGTACCCTGTTTAGGAGCCCACTCTGGCCATATCTTCGCAGACAACTTGAGTGTTCTTATTCGAGCTCCTATTCAAAAATCCTTCTCTTCCTTAATCAAGTATCTTGAAGTAGAAGGAAGTGAAGTATGTAACAGAATTGCAAACTACTTCCTACTATGGAAACAACCAATCAACGTGGGTAAGACTGTAGCACAGATCTTCTATTCTCAAATTACAATACCAACAGTTGATATATACATGTTAGGCCAGAAGATAAAGATAGTTAATACGTTTAAATATTTAGGGTTTACCTGAACAAGCAAACTATCACTAAAGCCCACCGTAAATAGATGCTTGGAGAACATTCATAAATCCCTACGTAAGTTGAAATGGCTGCGAACGGGCAGAACACTGTCCACAGACATATTAAGAAGATGCTTTTCTGCCTACTCCTTCCCGCATTTTGCATGGATCTTTCCCTTTTTTCCATTCTTCCCTCAAACCCAGAAAGAAGCGCTGGAAAGTAAATTTAGAGCTGCAATACGCCTTGCTCACCATGCTCCATTCGTTATTGCCACCGATCTGTTTTCATTCACCCACGAACAACCCCTTGTAAGTTGTATCAAACGATATATTTCAAAACGATTAAAAAATATCTACTCAATCGATTTAAGCACCTTATTGTTTGTAGAAGACATTTTCTTCTGGGATAATTTTCACAAACTGCCCAAGGACGGAGTAGGACATTTCTTTACGCTGAAACGTGTTAAGAGATTAAAAATCAAACACCATTCACTACTCCTAACATGGCTAGAGTTTGTCAATCAATAGAACAGGCCGTTCACACTCCTTCCTAAAAATTCTTCCCTACATAAGGTCGAAACTCTGAAAATCAGCTAAATCTAAGCAAAGGTACAAGTTCCAAATATCACCACTCCCTCTCTTCACTTCCACCAACTCCGCCCCTCTTCAACGTTCTACTCTTTTCTTTCTTTTCCTACCCTTTCCTTTAACTTGCTTATCTGCGCCTCCTAGTACACTCCTTCATTAACCCTTCTCTTATACATTGTTGTTACTCTACCTATTATTTTGTATTCCCCTTCCACATTGTTAACCGCCGCATTTAAAGTGTTAGTGTTTTCCTCTTTTTTTCCTGATCACCTTTGTGTATCCCATCCTGTAAGCACTTACGAGTGTTACAATAAAATAAAGCTCAAACCAAAAAAGAGATGCCAAGTTCGGAGGTTCTAATTATTTCAGTAGTACTCTCAGTATAGATAATGAACTCTAAAACATGTCCAGTTAAACAGTCACATATAAGTAATAATTTGATCCCATATCGATTTCTTTTCAGAGGAATATACTACTTGAATACCAGACGGGAGACCAGAATTTTTGGCTCGGACTTTCGGCCCGGTCCGAAATTCCGACGATTTTGTTTCGGGCAGGGCCCAAAGCTCACAAGGAATTTCGACCCGTAAACTCATTGACCCTTGAAAAAACCTTTTTAACTAGTTATTACATATCATATTGCTGAGCAGGAAGTCATAGTGCTCAGCGGTATGGCATACTGCTAAGCAAAACGTCATAATGTTTAGCAAGGTGGCGTAGTGCTGAGCAGGGCGTGACGGTGTGGGTGTGGGGTTTGTCTGTGGGTATAGATGTGCATCTTTCTACTCTATGAACCCACACCCATACCCTACACCCATATCCATAAATCCCACCCCTACTCATCACTACGTCACGCCACTGAGCATTACGATGTTCTGCTCCGCACTATGACGTTCTGCTCAGCAGTAGCACATCTAGCAAGTAATTTAAAAAATTAGATTTTCTATTTTAGGGGACAATGAGATTACGGGTCGAAAGTCCACAAGGAACTTCGGTCCGGGCCGAAAATTCCGTGGGTCGAAATTCATGTAACCCAATCCTATTATTGCTCGTACGAAGCCAATATTAGATTGTTCCGGATTGAACAAATAAAGTTCATAACTGCACTGAATTTTCATACTAAAGCTGTGATAATGTAACAGCTAATTTTTCTCAGAACTTCTCCAGGTCAAATTATAAAATATATAAGCAAGACTTGTGTATTTGTTTAACAGCAAAAACTTGATGCTGTAAGACACTGTGGTAAACTGGATAGAGAAAGAGTGAAGAGAAAATGTCAGAAAGGTAGAATCATTCTCATACATATGAATCGTAAACAATGTCTTTTTCATGTAACGGTAGACTTCGGACATCATGTATTTTTGAAAAAAACTGACAAAACAAAGCGCAAAAACAAAAAGAAATCTGCCACAACACTACACGAAACAAAGACAAAATTGAAGAAGAGAAATCGAAATCAATATGAGATATCTACGTTGCTAATGAGACAATCATTGTGTTACGTTTGAGACACGATTAAGCTACCTGTCTTTGCATCCATTGAAATTATTTGAGTTTTTCCGAGACATTGCAGAACTTGTTGTCGCAGTGCTTTTCTCACTTTGCTCGACATGCCCATGTAAATATACAACGTAAATGTGTAGTTAGCATGATAAAGATACATAATGCTTTGACTGATTAAATTTTCAAGGGCGCGTCGATCGGCATCTTGTTGAACGTCATTGGTTAAATAATAATAGATTCCTTCTGGACCAAATGGAACACCGGATACAGGCAGAAACAAAAGTTGAGGCATCAGCATTCGGCGGACTTGATTTGTCAAGTGTTTGTGCGAATCTTGAATTATGGTTGAACGAAGATTTTGAATGGTGCCCTTTGTACAGTAGACAATCACTACCGCCGGTATAATGATATGAACAAGTGGTGTTAACTCATAAGTATTAAAGACTGTATAGAGACCTCGTCTCAATTGGTAGGTGCCATCAATGACTTCACTAGTAAAGATGATCGAAATGTAGATGAGAATCCAAAAGAGAACAGTGCTCATAATCGCCATTCGAACAAAACGCATCGATCGCCAACTATTTCGAAAAGTGGTATCATGAGAAGTGCATGCATATTGATCAAAAGCAGTCCAACAAGGAAAATAAATGGCCGAAACTGTCGTAACATAGCGAAAGTAGGTATGTTCACGACAAGCAACTTCGTTCGTATTGTATAGATCAATATTGAACCCGCCGACGAGTATTGTTTGAATGTCAACCATCAGAAAATGAACACCAGCAAGGATGGAGCCTGCCAGTAAGTACTTGATGGTTGTATTTCGTCGAAAAGAGTATTAATCAGTGAAAATGATGACTGACAGGATCACTCCAATGATACCAAGGATACTGTTGTGAATTCAGCAAAATATTTGTTTTTATTATTCTCTTCATTAAACCAAGACTTTTCTGTGATCTGTTGATTTTTCACGCGAATGAGATATGTTTTGATATAGTTCTACTTCAATCATCAATACTATCTCATTACTAATGAGACTTATCCTAAAAGTGATGTTGGTACATGTAGAAGTAACGAATATGTATCAATTTTTAAAAATAGGAAGACGAACAAAAGAGAGAGGTAAACATAACATACTGAATTTTTCCAATTTCCGTCACTCTCGAGAATGGATAGGAAAATAGTGCTGACAAAGATGAATGATAAAGGGTGTAAGACCGTGATGCACGAACTAGGGATGGAATAAACAAAAGTCCGATATATAACTGTACATTTGTAGCAGTTAACTCTAAGATTTACTTGCCTTTGAAAGGCAACTACTTAGGACTTGATTCTGCAATTTGGAAGTTCACTACTCAGGTGAACACGAAAAGAGTCAAAACGATGTTTAAGCATTTCAATGTATAAACTGTGAAATATGTTTGATTAGTCGACAAAAACAGTTTAAGATTAATAACTTTTGCACACGTTCTTAATGCTTAACTGTTAAGAATTGTTGAAAGTTTCTCTATTTAAATGCGTGATTGATAATTAATCAAAAATTTTTAACAATTTGAATGGTTTTGATAAAAATGCTTCGTAACAATAAAAACCATTTCATATAAACGGTGAATCGTCAAATGTATAGAGTGCCCCAATAGTTCCTACTAAAGAGTGTCGTTTCGTGTAAATTAACTATTAATTGGCTTTAATCAAATGACTTTTTTCGTACAATAACTGACATCATCAAAGTTTTGTTTCTATTGGCAAAGCATAAGAGTGCCATTCAAAGCAATTATTTTTAACTGACGAGGGAACATTTCCAAGTGTGAGTCTCAGTTTTAAATGGGATGTATACCAGTTTGTAGAGCTCGACAAGCTGATGCTTGTGGTATGTTCCGTTTTTGCTCATAGACCTCAAATGAGAAAATTGGTAAGTTTTATTTGTACAGGATAACACTGGAAATATCGAACTTTTAAGCACAACATTCGCACAGAAAGGCAATTTTTAAAACTGTTTATAGTACTTTGAGCCCCTGATTCTCACATATCACACCCGAAACTATTTAAAGAAACGGTGCTCTTTATATTCTCAAGGTTATTCTTGTGCATGACAATATTATTTACATGATAGAATTTGATCGACCGAAGTTGCATATGAAAGCTTTTTTCTACATTCCGAAGTTTAAGCTTTATGATTTTCGTGTTTCGAGTTGCATAGACTATCATTTTATCGTTTCATTCGTTTTATTCGGAAAACATATCAAGAACACAATCGATGAAAATGATACGCGGTGAAAAAATGTTCGAAACACAATATTCGTCGACAATGACTACAACAAATAAATGCACTCTGTTCACAAATATTATTTGAGCAACTGTCTGCATCAAAAGAAAAACAGACGTCTATAACGCTCGAAAAATTCGAGTATTGTTTAGGAATGTAGCCACAAGTTGACCATGCGTATGAAATCATTGGTTTAAATAAAGAAGAACTCAGTTGATTATGAACCAGATTTGTAGTTTGATTATAGCGTCACGACTTCGTAAGTCAACATCTAATTCATCTAGAGATACACGATGATATATTCCTTTTGTTAACACTTTCCATTGTCGGCAAAAATAAGGATCACACGGTTGTTTAGTTGATGTTGCTCTTCTAGGTATCACTAATAATTTACATGACTGTCCTTTTGTCAGGTTATTCTCATATGCAGTAATGTCAGCCTGCGGTGACCATTGATCTACCACAAGAAGGAATCGATTGCTGACTACTTTATCGAGAACTTCTTTAATCCAGTATTCCGCTAAGGATTTATTTAATTTCCCAGATGTACTGCAACTAGTTACTATATTTGATGCTGAAAAGACCGCTCTTGTAATTTGAAACCGACTCGTGGGTTCCTGAAGACAAATAAAAACAGGACTGAGCAACTGACCAGCAGCACTAATGATCGGCATAACTGTATAGGAATGGCTTATAGCATTCAAAGATTTAACTGATAGATAAGTCGCTTTCTTTCCTGCATAAGATAGTGCACGGTTCGAAGCTATTTCGTAATTAAAACTGGATTGATCGGCATTTAGTACAAAATCAAACTTATATTTTGGTATATGTTTGGTTGCTTCAGCGACAAAATCATCAACAGTCTGTTTAATTATAGATTTATCAACAACTTCCAGATGAGAAACTAATTTTGTCACCTTTCTGGAAGATATACCGTTGCGTTTTTTGAAATTGAGAAGCCAATAGTCACTTGCTTTAAAGTCATCTATATTTTCTATTTTTGCTTGGGATAGAGCCCACCGCTTCACGTCAAGATCGTGCACAGGTAAATTGTTATTACGAGCAGAGCGAAATCTATCAAGTACAAAATGCTCTACACGCTCCAATTTTTGCCGACGGTTTCCGTTATTTGCAACATATTCTCGAAATCGCTTTAATTGCATAGGATGTGTAACTCGTCGAAAAGCATGCTGTACGGTTGTAAAAGCGACACCTGGACGAGCAAAGTCGACAACCCTTTGCATGTATTCTAAACTGAACTGACGATTTTCGACTACTTGTTGCTCTTCATCATCTTCGATTTCAACAGGATAGTCCGGGTCAAAATGATTGACATCAGAAACTTCGAGAGAATCTTCTGTTTCTATTGTAAAGCTGTCACTGTTGGAAAGGTCCTCTAATAGATCGAGCAGATTGATTGCGATCGATATCTCTTCTTCTGTGGTGCTTGTTGAATGAACAGTTGACCTTTCTAATGCTTTTTCATATAAATGTTTACATATGTTAACGACGTTCGTCATAGAGAAATAAGTTTTGATGAAGTGAAACCTGACAGAATATTAATCAGAAGATTTATCATGGACTATTTTCCAAATGACGGATATATATATATATACAGATTCGAAAGAAGGTGGAAGAATTCACTTGAAAATGTTAGAAAGCGACAGAATTTTTTGATAGCCGATAAGCATAGAACAGAAAGAGAAAGAACTAATTAGAATATACTAGAAAGAATGAGAAAATAAGAGATGTGTATCATGAATGCATAACAATACAACGAAAAGAACTATCGTTATCTTGTTTGTTTAATATAGCATTACACTATCACGTACTAACAGTAATAAGTCGTGAAGCACATTTGATTGAAGTGCACTCAAATATATTGCACGTGTCGTTGTCTATGTTAAAACGACGATTTGAACTTCAAATAACCTTGATCTCTTGATTTCCTAACAAATATCTTACAACTTATCTAGGCAAGAAATTCACTATTAAAATCGGTTGATTTTTCTCATTTGAAGTCTATGGGCAAAAACGAAACATACGACAAGAATCAGCTCGTCGAGCTCTACAAACTGGTATATATCCCATTTAAAACTGAGACTCACACTTGGAAATGTTCCCTCATGAGAAACAAAAATTTTATCTTTTTTCTCGTTCCATAATATCATTCCGAGTATTTCTATTTTAATTGGTTGAATTTTGACTTGATACTATTTAAATCGTTTTTATAAGAACACATCAAAACTAATTTCAATAAAATGACTCTTCGTGATGTGAACAATTTCAAGATCAGAATACTTCGAAATTTCAAAGCAATTAAAAACGGAACACTGCGAAATGCTACTATGGAACTAAAAAAATGCGAAGTTGTTGTTGCCCAGCTGAAGATAATTACTTCCAAGAATGCTTTTATAGTCTGCCTATAAAAATAAAATCTCAATGGTGTCACGTATTATAGAAAAGAAGTCCGTTGATTAAGTTGAATCAACACTCAATCGATATGAAAAAATATTTTTGGATAGGGGCTTTTGAGACGTTAAATAACAGTTATTGCATGGAAAATTATATTGATTTCCAAAAAAGATTGCTTTTTCAGTCTAGCTAGTTTTCTTCAAACTTTCTCTCAAAAATCTACGTCTATCAAATCTCATTTATTCTATCTGTTTTTTATACTTTAAACAGTCTATCTTGCTAAGAAGTCTCATTATTAATTTCTTGGTTTTCAGATACTAAGCTGTTGAATCCTCAAATGCTATATAAATTACGCAGAAGCATGTCAGTGAAGCAATAGGTGTCTTGAAGTAAGAAGGTTTTATGTCTATTTTTTTCTAATGAAAAACTCAAGTTTCATATATAAAATCATGACAAATTACAAGAGTGGGCGAATAGAGAATCAATAATTATGTAGGAAGTTTCTAATACTTATAAAATTATTGCCTGAATTGCAATTACTGACAAATATTCTACTTGACTGGTTGCAGGAGAATTATCTTCGTCTCAATCAGTTCATAATATCGATATCATACTAGGGAATTTAATCGAAAACAACAACGATATTCTATATGAGAAGTGACAATTGTCGCAAGTGGGGTGTGGGGTGGGTGTGAATTCCTGTGAAGATCAACATCAACACGCCCACGCCCACAACCACACCCACACTCCTATTTTTATCAGTTTAAAGGCATCGGCGAGTGAGAATGCGTGTCGGGTTAAGAGCCACACCCATAAATTTTAAGCAGTCATACTTGTCTAGCACTCACATACATTCACTACTGCTTATTTTAGAGGGTTCTCCATGAAATTCCTCACTTGTTGATCTAAAAATTAAAATTAGATAAAAGAATGATTTCAACGGAATGCCTATGAAAACAATAGGATAAGATTGTTTTTTTAACACATCGATAGCGATTGTTCTTTTTTCTTTTATTCAAAAACAATCAATACTTTGCCGTTAGTGCGTTTGAAAGCAATATAGTTTTATCTGGATTTCAACGCTACACTCGACCATAATAAGAAAATTTTTCTAGGAAATAACTCATATTGAAAGTCTTTAAATGATCGTAGAAACATAAAGCAAAAAATATTCTATCATATGATACGAAATGGTTTCCATTCAGTATCAAATTCGATATATCTGAACTTTCACAAATGATTAGATTTTCAAGAAACAAAAAGAGGAAAACATCAAAACAACGTAATGACTCTTAATATTTATAATTTTATTTTCATAAAAAAAATCTATTTGGAAAACAAAGAAACAATGTTTTTGTAGAGCAACAGTTCCTTTTTATTAAACAAGTTCAGGAGAAGTTGTCAAAAATGATTTTGACATGAACATTCTTCATTTGAATGAAAAGGATGTCCACGATTGACACCACGAACAATAATATTTCGTTTTTGAGATTTTCACTATGAGCTTCATAGCTTGATTTAAAATAGAAAAGAATACATACATGATTGAGATCAATCGAGACTAAAAGTTTTAACTTATGACAATCACCATAAATACGTAGGTTCTTATTAATCTGAATAATTTCTGGAACAGTTCTTTGAATAAAATTATAAACGATGGTCAATTTTTCGCTGTAACCATACAATACAGATTCAATAGCTGCTTCGTCGTCTATTTGACGAATTATCTAAAAAGAATCAAATCTATGTCCATGTTCAATTAATTCAGATAATAACCGGTCAAGTTCAACATAGATTTCTAATGATCTTGGATGAGAATGACCACTCTCATTTTTTCCGTCACGCACAAAATAGAAATACAATTTCTTTGATTTTGTAGATTTAGAAAAACGTGTGGAAAAGAAAGCTTTTATCTTGAATGTGGTAAGTTCCCATGAACAAATTCTATGATAATTGTTTTCGATCAACTGAAAATAGCTCATGGTATCTATTATACTTATAGTCCATAGTTAACACATTGAACAAACATTAATGAAAAACTCCAAAATGATTTCGATAACTCATGTGTGATTTAAACTGAACAAAGATGGCCAGTAAACCATCACTAGACGGTTCAGTATAACGTGTGCAGTATAGTGGCAATTAACCGAACGTAGTCTAGTATTTAAACGATCGCCTATGTTCTCAATGCCATTCTATCTGTGTGAAACCGATAAGCTTTGTTTGAGTGGTCATTTACAGACGGTATGCCAGTAGCAGCACAAGCAAACGTCTGACATAGAAACTAAAGAGGAAAAGTCAATATTATTTAGTATTTAAATAAAAGAAAAAAGATTATGTGCACAACCTTTGATAAGAAGTGTTTATTGTATTACAGAAAAAAGAAAAAAAATGCTATTTATGAAAATTGATGATTAAATTTTAAAGAATAAATAATTTGACTTTTCCAATAAAATATTTTCTTGAAAAAAAAATCATTCAATGACTTAGACATTATATGTATGTAAAAATTGCATAATAGTACTCAAGTAAAGTTGGAATTATTCAATATCATAAAAGAGACCGATACAAATTCATTTCATAATGACTTTTCAGTGTAATCTTATCATGTCAGTAAAGGAAAAAAAGCTGTATTACAAAGTAAAAGTTTTTCTATACCAATAGTGCATATGTGCTTATAAATAATCTGTAGAAAATAAGAACTGTGTCAATTTTACTCTAGCTATTGCATTCGATTTACTTTAAGACTCTTCCATATTTTTTGTGTAATATTCAAATGAGTATTCATTCAAGCAAACAGCGAATAATTACGACGAATTTCAATGATAAAGTGAGCAAAGATATTACCAAGTAAATTGAATATGAAGTTTTTTCAGGAAATTAACTCTTCGACTATTCTCTTCATCTCTTTTGCAGCACTTTAAAAAAAATATACAACAAAGAATCTTTTAAATGCATTATATTCTTCTTTTAATTTTTATTAGAAAATCAATTAAATGCCTAGAGAATAGATATGAATTTGGGTATGGTTCTTCTCTTAACGCACGCGCACATCCTCTAATTCGTAATCTGTTTGAAAATTTAACAACAAGCTCAAGGCCAATAGCTAATAAGGGCTTACTTTGACATTTTTTCGTATTGTTTGAAAAAACCAATCAAGTGTTTTTGAATTATTTATCTAGCCGATGTATTAAATAAATGACACCGGGAATCTTATACTATTACCTTTTCCTAAATTACTAGTGATATAAGGGTTTGACTGTATGTGTTAGTGCATAATCTACTAATATTTCAATTTTGTGATTTTGACACTTTCTAAATTTCATTAATTTTCACAAACGTTCAAATTGCAATAAAATGATGCTGCTGTCAAAGTGCTCGCCTACACCCAAATGAACAGTAATTGTAGCGGCATAGTTTTCATTACGAAAATTGAAATAATCTAGTAAGTCAGAAAATTTTTTCACGGTATTCATTCGTTTGTTTTCATATAGCTAAAAATATCCCATTGGATATTTCATGAGGAACTTCAACATCATCACACTTGTGTTATGACATTTACTAAAGAATGGTTCTGAAGTACCAAATATCTTATGTTTGGAGCGAGCATCTCCACTTCGGTTAGAAAGAATATCAACAAAAAATACTCTTCTTCGATTACCGTGTATTCGTCTGATAACACTTGGTTAGAGGAAAAAAACGATACTTTCTTGTGTTCAGAAGAAATAATCGTTCTCTGCCACAATATGACAGAAAAATAAACAAAGAAGTAAATTCTAGAGTAAAAGATGAGACCAGCGAAAGTTTATGCTTTTTTTTTGACAGCGAT